ATATGTTTTAAACTTTAGATTTGGGATAAAATATCAAGTCTTTTCAAGTAAACAGGTTCAAGTCCAATTCAAGTCTCAAGTTATTGGTGTCAAAGTCAAGTCCAAGTCTCTGAATGTTTTCTCAAGTCAAGTCTAAAGTCTTAAAATTAGTGGCTTGAGTCTGACGCGAGTCCCCACCTCTGCTGATTATTACAACAAATAATCTGTTATAAATATATAAAATATATATTTTAAATGTTGGAAATTAAAATCATTTGAAACTTGTAAATAGATAATTCACACTAAAGTCAAAAGTATCTTTGCTTTTTGTATTTTTCTTCTCATGTTTGCAGCTTGGAAGGTTTGAAAGTTCCAACATAAACTGCATCAAAATTAACATTATAAACCAGAGAATAAAGCAGAGGAGGAGGAGCCAGCATGAAAAGACTGTTTCAGAACCTCTGATCGGACCTGAGTGTTGGTTCATCTCTGGGATTTAAAGCCGATTTTTACATGGTGGGAAACAGCAGAACATTGATATATTTTTCTTTATTCTCTGCTCTTTTCCCTGCTCTTTGCATGTAACTGTTGTGTCGTCCTGGTTTGTCCCTCAGAATGAGAACAGGGACTTCAGAGGGAATACTGTGAATACATGAAATCTAAATGGTTTAAAGCCAGAATAATGGTGACTAATGATGGTCACAAAAACCTACAAAAAGTCTGAACAACAGAGAATAACCCTCAGAGTTATGACTTATTCACACATCATTTCTTCATTATTATTTGATGCATTATTTCAATTTTTACCTTAATAAATCTGTCATGCCACATGCCAATACTGGCTCATTAGCTGAGGGGTGTGTGTGTGTGTGTGTGTGTGTGTTGGGGGGGGGTGGGGGTGCACTATAGCTGACACAGTCACTAAACATATCAGAAACGAACCTAATTACTGAATAGAGTTGGTTTGTGGCACACACACACACACATTCTGGTATAGCTGTCTTTATGGGGACCTGGATGACTGACTAGACCCATAAGTAACATACGGTCCCCACAAAAACTGTCCCACAACGTAGGGATTACCAGTCTGTATTTATGCCTAACCCAGACATTTTCCCTAAAATTAACCATTACTGGTCTATAGTTAACCCTAATCTGAACCAGAACTTAACAGCCTAAATGCCACGGTCATTAATGACGTATTTCCGGTAAAATTCTTGCCACGCTCCTCCCTTCCACTCCGTGCTTACTGCCTTTGTTTTTAACGTTAGCTGCTAGTACTAGTCCGTGAAAAAGTCACAAAAGTTAAAGCATCTGTGATCTACTGGTATAAAACGTGTGTTCTGTTGTGTGCTGTTGTGTCCACTAAGCAGCAGGTACGATCCAGTAGTTAGTTTTTATCCATTTTCTTCATGATGAGGAGGTGACAGCAGTGGATCATAACATTACAGGGAAAACTTATCTTTAAAAGCTCACGCTTGTGTTTGTAATCAGCATTTCTAACTTGAGGATATTCAAGAGCCAGCATCAGAAATGAGAAGACGGAGGTTACAAAAGGGAAATGTACATTTATTCCCTTTTACTGCCAAGACCGAGAGAGGAAAGACCACCTCCACATGACAGCTAGCAGGAAGCTAACACAGCAGCCGGTACAAAGGTAGGTGTATGCGCGTGCACGTTTGTGTTATATGAAATGTTTTTATGCAACTTTGTCATGAGTTTTCTGCAAGAGTAAAACCTTGTTAGAGTGTATATTACAGCGTAGACTAAAGCCGAGTGACGAGCGCCCCCCCTCCGCCCGAGCACAGAGAGCAGCAGAACCTCCGCCTGATAATCATTATGTTTTCAGTTTACCAACCTGTAGGAAAACGATCCAAACCATACAAGTACCACATCGATTTAAAGCCCAGACTCTGCTCTTTCCAACAATATAAGTGTCACAGCTCTACGTGACAAATTCACGGAACAAGCAGCCACAGAATAGTGAAAAAGGGCTAAATTCTGGAACCATAAACACGAACGTCTTTCCTTTGTTTTTATGGCTTTAATTCACTTTGGAGTGATTTATTTTCCACTTGTCTGGACCTGTACGTCTCCTGTGTTAATGTTGGTACTTGTAATATGCTAATTCTGTACTGTGGAGATCATTAAGAGTCGTTGTCGGGTGAAAAAATCTTTTGCTAACACTGTGTCGACCGTGAACCGGAAGTGTTGGGAGTGGCATCAAGTGCTGGACCGGATGTCCGTGGCATATAGGCTATTCACACCTCTAAACCTAACTAGTAAAGCACAGCAGAGCTGCAAACAAAGTGAGGACATTGAAGAGGTCCTCACTGTACATCAAAGACCTCACTTTGATAGTAACTATGGAGCAAATGGTCCTCACTGAGTAGTCAAAACAAGCACACACACACACACACACACACACACACACACACACACACACA